TTGTGAAGCGGACAATTTCGACTTCTGAATAGACGTCGACTTTTTCCATTAATTAAAGAACAGTAAGCCACAGGGAAAAAAAATTCAACAAATATTTATAAGTTTATAACCTTGATATTTTCGAACGAAGAAATACAAAAATGAGCACATTATAATTGAAGTAATCAAAGCAATACAAGTTGGAATAGCAAACTAATATTTTTAGTAAATATAGCTCTTGTTTGAGCTTCATTTTTTCATCAAAAATTTGACCACATTAGAATCACACATTTTTTAATAAAATAATATTACACGTAAACCCAAAAATTTTCCTCATTTTTTAACCACACAATCTCCGTCGTAACATTATCACAAAATGCATTTCTTTTGCAAATAATAGGGCTCAAACAAACCCATAATTGTGTTTGTGATAAAAGTTAATGTATGATAAACTAAATATGTTCGTGACTAAGAGTGTGTTTGGTAGGGATTTTTGGGGGAATAATTGATTTTTGAATAGTGATATGATGGGAAATATGTAGTTGAAAAAGAAGAAAAAAGTGTTGATATGATGAAAAATATTATTTTATTGAAAAATGTGTGGTTAAAAATGAGAATTAATTTACTGTAGAAAATGAAAATCTGTACCAAACAGGCCCTAAGGATGTGTCAATACTAAAGACTGGATAGATGCAATATACAATGTTTAATACCATATCGTTTATAATTTGAAACCTAAATTAAGAAATAAAACATCCCCTTTATCGTACTTTCAAAATGACGTCGTTACAAGGACTCTATTGAAATTATTTGGGTTGTTTCGTGGGACTGTTGCGAAATAGATAGAAATGGGAAGGCATAACTGCAAATACAACTAATAAGTCTACTAGGAAAAATTGATTGCTTAATACACACCATCCATAAAGTTAGAAATGCACAAGGTTAGAAGACGATACATGAGAGAGATAAGATGATAAATGCTATCAACCACACGCTCTTGAATTGGATTCCCTTTCGGTTTTGGAGGAAATGGTGGAAAATATCCGATTGACCTAGTCACTTATCCACAATAGCCGTTAACCAAGTAAAAAAGAAAAAAAAAAGGAAAAACTAAAAAAAAATTTAAAAGTCCAGCATTTTCCCATTTTTACCCTCACACGTGACTGTGAAGAGAGTTGAGAGAGAAAAAAAGTATGTTTTCGAATTTTTGTTGATTATTTATGAAGAAATTGTTGTAAAATCAATTATTAATGGATGAAATG